TGGCCAGGACCGTGTGCAATGGCTAAGAGTGTTTAGGGGGCATAGATTGCCCTAAGAACTCTAGCGCCGCACAATATTTTTACGGGAAGAAGTGGGCGCGGGATTGATCAAGCTGGAGTACCGTAAACATCAGTAAAGTCTCAATGTTTTAGAGAAGTGTAACTAAATCTCAGTCCAAGTCCTAAGACCAATTATCTCCTGATTTCGCTTTCGTTAGTTTGGCATGTCAAAAAGAACGGCGTATTTTGGTTCCTCTGTTGTCATGTTTTCCCTTGGTGTTTGAGGGCCGCGTGGCAAAAGGTATCAGAAATTGGGAGCAAGTCGGATGATGCAATCCAGCATGACGGAGTGGACCTCGCTTTTAAGGTTTAAGGCTTAAGTTTTCCTGAAAATCACACTTTTTTAGCTTTCGTGTCAATATGTACGACAGCGCGCCCCGTATCAGTATGGAAATCACGCACATGTCTTCTTTTTTGTTTCATTTTCAGCACGTTGATGTACATTTGTGTGTGTTTTGAACATAAAGTTTAATGCAGTGTTATCTTAAAATGTCAGCTCGCCACTCGCGGTCAACGGATAGGTCGGGTACTGCCGACTGTGGAGCATCATGCAGCGTTCTTCAAAAGACTGCCACTGCTCGTAAACCAGGGAAGCTACGGAGAGATTGTTTGTATGCCAAAACACGCGCATTGGATACCTTGTAGGCTGCTGAAAACTTGAGCGTGATTACGCAACTTGCTGGAGAGATATCCTCAGAACACTTCAATGGCGGGGGGGGGGGGGTGCATCAACTCCACCTCCTATCCTCCTATCAAGGCGAGCGTAAAAAAGGCCTGTGTGCGGTTTTTTGCCATATCCCTTGCAATTATTAATCACATTGGTACGACATTCTGTCATACAATGAGCACAGAAAAATAGTTCGGTAAAGTATATAGCTCTGCTTCTTATGCAATATGCCTACACATCATGTAAAATAATCATCTTTACTTTTCTACCTTAGCATTGTCTGTTACAACATTCCCGTACCGGGCATTATAGCCTTGGTCTCGCCTGCCGCATGAGGTCGTCCATACTTCGTGTCATCGCCACTTCCAGGTGAGGATTCCATGCAATAGTGTGCCTCTCCATATTATATTGCACACCATTGTAGGGACAGCTTAAACAACCACATCTTAACTACAAATAAGAGGATCCTACATCCTTTTACCAAGCCATAGTAATCCTGAGCCACGGTAAACATCAACGAGAAAAAGAGGTACTGAAACACGAGCCAACACCCTCCAACACAGGCGCAACGCTAACGCCTGGGAAATGAATCGGTGCGTGTGTGGCCGAAACATCTTGAGATAGCGCTGCAGGCATTATAAAAGACGGGATAAAAGTAAGAGCATGTGTAACAAATTGTTTTGCTTCAATGTTGAAAGGCAAAGCTTTCAATCTGCCACTTTGCAAATATTTTTTCCGTGTGATAAAATACCAACCAATGGAAATATGTAGCATGTGCATTGTGAAAAACATGCAGAGCATTTGTTGAGCAAAATTCCGCACCACGACGTCTATCGCGAGGCACACAAACGTTGACATTCGTGTCATTAAGGTGAAAGGACGACTCCGTTGTTCCTTAAAACGGACCGTAAATGTGCAGATTTATTTTTGCAGAAGAGATGCAGTTCCAGGTGACGATCAGAGTTAGACGGACAGTGGTCAGTTGCGACAGCGGTCACTGTGCAGGACAGGGTCGGGTCACACCGCGGGGAGACAAACGGGATAGCTCTCCCGCTGACGGCTCTCCCAAGTCATATGTTGTGTCGTCAGTAGCGATGGTGGCCACAATTGTGACCTTAGCGGCCGAAGCCGCCGCCGAAGCCGCCGCGGCCGAAGCCGCCGCCGCCGTGCATGCCCCAGTGCCTTCTGTCATGACTGCCGTGGTCCCTTCCGCTATAACTGCGGTAGCGTCCTCCGTCACGACTGGAGTATCCGTAACCACCGCCACCGTCGCCGTCGTAGAATCTGCTTGCCGAGACGACGCCAAACACGGCCACCAGCAGCAGAATCTGAAACAGGAACAACACACCGTCGCATAAGCTGCACAATCATATTGGCTTGTCCGTTGAAATCATAGTTCGACGAAGTTATTGAAAGAAATACATACAAGTCAATTGATCGAAAGTAGTACTGCAAGATAAGTGCAGCCGTCATCTGAACTGCAGGTAAGCATGCTTGAAGTCTGATCACATAACAGTATTTGCCACGTCGCAGCGGCAAAACGGGGAGGACATTGCAAGGAAAGAGCAGTTAAAAGGAAGAAAACAAGGGATCGGCTGACGTAAAGTCCTAAGAATGGCGGAAGAGACGAAGGGATGAATGGACTGATGAACGTAGGAGGGGTGGAACGGAGGGCTTGATTCGAGGAGTGAGGAAAAGACGGGGAATGGAAGGAGAAGGTGGCTGAAGGGCTGGAATAATGGAGTGCGATGTTGGGAGGCTACACGTCGCGGAGGGACATGAGAAGGGAGAAAGATGGAGATCAGGAAAACAGAGGGTAAGGTGGAAAGAGAGGAAGAGGGAGAAAGACACGGGGATAGACAGAGAGGGAGAGAGAGAGAGAGAGAAAGAGAGAGAGGGAGAGACGGAGAGAAACAAGGTGAAGGGGAGAGAGGGGGAGATATCTTTTAAAGTATTCGTCGATTTCTACACATCATCTGGCACAAGTAAACATAGGTCGTGGTCCCTTACATCTGCCTCACATAATTGATGACTCCCGCTATATGGCACTGTTCGCTCAACACGTCGTCGACCATGGCCTGTTAAAATATTCCAGCGACACGTGAAAAATTTCCGAGTGCATGAACCGGTAAATGTCTTCTCATGGACACATTTTTCACTCAAGATTCATTCCAACATTTCATTCCAACATTTTCACTTACCAGTAGCTGGAAGTTCATCTCTGTGCCTTGCGAACAAGTGATCAGCAGTGCGAACAGCAGCCAAGAGCATACACACTGTCCCGCGGGTCGTCTTATATAGGGCTATGACTGCTTTCAGCGGGGCACCGATAAACACGTTAATCCGTGTGGCACGCTGGTGTTTGACCGCGAGCTTAATTTCAGCAGCAATGCTGGAAAACCCATGAATCACACCTGTGAGACGCTGAGTTGCAATGATGTTTTCTGTACTACAGCTTGCTTGGAGGCCTTGAGATTCTTGTAACGTAGAACTCTCAACAGCTTGCAAAATTTTTAATGTGTGCCTTATATGTTGCTGTAAGTGTGCGGAGGTTGTGGATGTTCGTAATTTCCAAAATTCAGTCTTTTCTTAACTGGCCTTTCAGCAACTGTCTGATGTGACAAAATATATGGAGATGTGCGGCCTGAGTTGCATCATCTCAGCGCTCAAAGTTCCGTGCTACCGAGCAACATGTTCTTGCATAGCGTTGATGTGACTGATTGGAAGTGATCTCAAACAATTGTCCATGTTTTGGTGATGATGCACCCAGCAAAGTACCCATTCTCACTGATGATTAGCTGGCACATGATTAAAAAGAATGTTATCGAAGCTCAAAAGATGATATCTGTCAGAGTAAAGGTGAATGAACAATCCCAAAACATAGGACCAAAACGCTACACCATAATGAGCCTAAAGAAAAGCATAAATAATTGAAACATCGAGTGACAATACTTTACAGCTTTGAACCAGCGCCGTTACTATTCAGGCTGGCAACGCTGCAAAGACGACTGCAAAATGATATTCATGAATGGTGCATGCCGCTGTCCCTTTATGCAAAATGATATGCATAAATTGCCCTATACATATCGAGGGCGTTGCAGTGCTCGATCGGAACGAGATCAAAGCGACGTGCATCAAAGCAACTGTAGCCTTCTATCCTGGCAGCAAGCTTAAGTCGTTCAGTACCCTTATCGCCCCCGATGGTAGTCGAGAGGTCCTCTTCGGATCCGTCTATCAGCCTCAAAGGCGCCGATGGCTGACCTGAGGGTGGACTCCGCCGATTCGGAGATGCAACAGCAGCATCTGCTGACTGACCATTTCCGAGCTAACGTCGTGGCATGCGCCGACATTTTCGTCCGACAGAATAACACAAGGAGTCATGACTCCAGGCAGCGAGAGTCCACATTGTGACAGTTCGCGCCTGCTCGCACAACCATAGCTGACCTCCGACCTCCCCCTGACCTGTCCGTTGGCCCGACGGCCAGCGAACACCAACACGACACGAGCCCAACCGGCGCCATGGCCGGGCCACGCGGGATTCACGCCCACAGCTCCTCGCTTTAGAGGGATCGCGGTTACAGCGCAGCCTTTTCAGGAGAGCCAGCAGCTTCAGTGATCAAAATAGCGCTTAGTGGTCATGAACGGCGTTTAAACCCGGGCGGAGCTGAGGGTGCAGCCATGGCCATGACGCCCTTGCACTTCGCCGTTCAGCTGAGCGGCACTTGTAGGGACAAATAACCGCCCGCTAGAGCATTTCATGGATTTAATTTTCATGATCCGGTCCAGTCCATTCCGGCTAGCCCAGATCCAATCCCGCCCTCCAAACGATCTTTTTTTCAAATTCTCCAATTCAATCCGCTCTTGCCCGCGTTACAAGAAACAATGATTAAATGAGACCGTACACGTCCACTCCACATGAACTTTTGGAAATTTGAGCAGGATGTTTGGCTGCTCTCAGCATCTTAAATTTAATAACATCGTTGACTTCCATTGGAGAAATACGTGTGATATATGCCACAACCCAGTGGGTGCTGAGATACTCATTACAACAACTTATCCGTTGGGAACGTAATTTGCACCATAAATGTACATGCCTCTAGGCAGTTTCAGCGGCACCCAGTTCACAAGCACAGGACGACACTCATCCAGTACGCATTCTCAATCATTAGAATGACCAGCTGACCTCGTATTTAAAACATCAGGTGTTTGACCATTCTCAGGCACACCACCACATGAAACATCACCTACGAACATTATTTCTGTAGATTAGCAGCCGCGTCAACATTACAATCTTCATATGCGTCTGTCCACTGCCTGCAGTACCTGTTGTTTCATCTAGGGGAATGAAGCAGTTGCGTCATTTTTTAATCATATTGCTTAATGCCGGATACTATGCAATGTTCTTTTTTGTTTACACTGAAAAATCCGTGAGTTCTTCTATCTGTAATTGTGCATGGTACTGCCACATGAAATCACATTAACTCAGTTTAAGACACATTTTTCATGTATATTAGCGATGATATGTAATCAGGCATATTAGCGATGATATGTAGTAACGCATCCGTTCTTTGGTTTTAACATTAGAGTTTTAACTAGGAGAGGCACCATGAATATTTTATCAGATGGTGCACCATTGTAGTCAAGTGCGTGACGTGTCTTGTGCGCCGAAAGAACCATCTGTCCGTTCAAGACACAAATCAGCAATCCTCCCATTTTCACAAACGCATTGTTTGGGTTAGGTTCTTGTCGTCCATCATCCGACATATGACATGACCGCTGGCGCTTTGACATCTCATAAACATATCAGACGTTTGCAAATGGCCCTGGTGATTGCACAAACCACTCAAAATCTTACCGAGCTTTCATTTGACGCATGAAAATCAGTAAACGAATAATGGTGAGGATCCAGCAATCAGCGTACCGGCAGACGTCTGGAAATGGAGCAGTTGTAGCAGCATGATGTACTTGAAGCTAGTGTTAAACTCATCAATCTGGCTGACTGAATGGGTATACAGAAACTGCGGTGTTGATATGGAGTTAGTTTTTCTTTTTTCACTGAGGAGCTTGTATTTCTAAATTCTGTGGTGTCCTTTCTGCCAGCAAAACTTACTCCTATCCCCTTTTTTCAACTCAAGTGCACTGTCACCTGAGGTTAAACGGGATCGCCGACAAAATCAGGAGGAATGGTCGAAATCATTTGACACCTCATGTTAACTGAACATAAGGTGTAAACTGATAACATATTTGATTGACTTGGAACGAATGGGAGATCTGGTTCCGCATAGCAGCACATCTGAGTATCACTCTTTCACATTGTGAATGTGATTATTTCATCATAATTTTCATGCAATGTGTGAAAGAGATATACATTTCATAGCGTGTTCGCGCATTGCTTGGAATGATAAGTAACGTATGCTATTAGTTTAAAGGCCCTGGTCCGAGAGGTTTTCATTAAGCATATAAAAAACCTGTCGTAGCAATTTCCATGCATTCGTTTTCACTGCATTCAGCCCCTGTGAGCTGCCAAATCAGAAAATTTAGTCCGGTTCTTACCTCTGTTTTGGTGAAGATTTTTGATCAGATCCAGTCCGACCCGTGGATTGATCCACAATCGGTGGATTAAAGCATGGCTTCTTTGAGGGTCGTCGTCCGGACCACGTCGGCACCCTTGACCACAACTCGTCACCCCGCCTCCCAGGCGTAGATATGTACCAATAGCAACATGACCCTTTTGACCTTGGGCAGTGATGTCAGTCCACACCTGTCTTCGACCATTATTTTTAATCGATTCAACATTGATTTGTGATCGTTGTTCAACGCTTCGGATCTAATTCAAGTAATGATTCTGTCTGATGTGAGTCAATTCTCAGTTTTATTCGATGTCCCCGCTCGGTGATTACGTTTGAGTCCCCAACAAGACAATGATAGGTTTGTATCATTCAGGGGCTTCAATAGCGAAGGGGCCCTCCATCCCATTTCAGCTAGGGGCTCGCCATGCTGAACAGAACTCTCTGTGACGATTATTGGACAGCTGCGACGAAAAGGATTCTTATCGTCCATGAGGGGCTCTGCTTCGCTCAAATGCTTGGGTAAGAGGTCCAAATGCTCGGCTCAGTAGACATCCGTGGTCAGGCAGACGACTAATGTATGAATGGCTTCCGTATCGACCAGGGATCCCGCCCCTCTGTCGCCACCACGACAGCAGGCATACAATCCCCTCTTCAACGGAATAGCCCTTAGCCCCCGACCGGGAATATAATGTGTTCCCAACTGTTCTACCGACGGGGCTCCTTGCCTGTAAAAGGTAGTGTTCTTAGTGTCCAACAGAGTGGATTAAAATGAGGTCAAAAATAAAAAGGCAATATAAGCGAGAAAGTCCATTCTTGCTGCAGAAACGACTTGTGTAACAGACGCATCAATAGTTTGGAACCTGCGTGCGGACAATCTTAGCAGCAAGAATACCTATGAACAGCGTTGCCGTTTCCACCAGCCAAGCGGTGCTGGCAGCTGCAGCATACACCGGGCGGCGAGCGCCTGGCGTGCGAGAATAGCCATCGTGGAAAAATACCTCGGAAAGTCTTCACAGCTCGCTCCGTATGGTTCTGCTATCGAACAAACACACCGTCGAGATGGCGCGACTGTCGCTTATACAATGTATTCAGGATAGATGTCGCTGTATGTGTCTGTCTGTGTCTGTGTGTCTGTGTCTGTCTATCAAGCTGGATCTGAAGGATGCATACCTGCAGATGGTGCTGGACGATGAGTCCAAGGACATGACGGCAGTCACAACGCACAAGGGACTGCTGAGGATGAACCGTCTTCCGTTCGGGATCTGTTCCTGTGGAGACATCTTCCAGTCAGCAATGGACCGGATCATAGAGGGCCTAGATGACTGTGTTGGCTATCGGATGACCTCCTGGTGATGGGTGAGACGGAAGCAGAGATGTTGAAGAACCTGGATTTGGTGCTTACACGACTGAAGGAGCATGGAGTGAGGCTGCAGAAGAGCAAGTGCGAGTTCAACCTGAAGCAAGTCACCTATTTGGGGTGGAGAATATCAGGAACGGACTTAAAACCTGTGCCAGAGAAGATTGAAGCACTGCAGAAGATGCCGGAGTCGGAGGACGTCAGTGAGCTGAGAACGCTACTCGGTAGTGTTAACTGCTACCAGCGACTGGCCCCCAACATCTCAATGACGCTGGCTCCGCCGTACAGCTGTACAGTACTGAAAAAAGATGTCAAGTGGAAATG